TGGCATTTTGAGCCCGCAGTGCGAAGGTGTTGCATGAGGGACAGATGAAAAGGATTTCGACAAGAGAGTTAGAAGTGCTTCAAATCTTTGAGCTGCAAGCAAGTGCAACGAGTGCTCTGGCTGACATTGCTGCATGTGCCGCGCCCCGCTGCCATTTTTTAGGGGTTTGGGTCGTGTACAGCTTGTGAGCTTTGCTTTTATGGGGAAACCCTAAACCCAAACAAACCCTAAACCCTGACAAACCCTAACAAACCCTAAACCCCAACAAACCCTAAGCCCTAACAAACCCTCAAGAATCCGAAACCAGCACCCCGACACTAGTGGGGCATCAGCCCAACGACCCCACTTCATCACAGGAGAGACTCCTGTTCTTGTTTGTTTTGCGAGGCCCCAAGCTTGGGAAGGAGTTTGGCGCACCGACGTGGCGAGGTCTACGGCGGGGGTCCCAGGTCAAGGAAGGCTGCAGAGAATCAAAAGTCAGTTTCGGAGCTTCAGAGCTTTTGAGTTTGGCCACTTGCTGTCTGTGAATGCAGATTTTAGGTATACCGTTATACCCGAACATAAATTATTGCTTGAGGCCGGTTAAGCCTTGTGGCTGCTTGCTTTTCGAAATTTCGGATTTGCTACCTTGGGGTGTTGGTTCAGACAAGGACAGGAAACGACGTCAACGCTGCCCGTGGAGGCCAAGCAGAGTTCCGGCACCAAACATCCAGGGTAGCAAAGGTTGCCATGGCATAAGAAGAATTTCAATAACCATAAGACTCACAATGATAATTTGAGCTGTAGCTGTTGGAGGCTTTTGGTGATTGTCGCAATCTGTAGGCCCTATGCTGTTCTTTGGTTTCAGGGGTCCTAGCATTTTTGCCGTGGTCGGCAAACGGCAGGTCGCTCGTGTTTCATTCTGATCTAGACCAGAGAAGTTCTCTTTGATACTGAGAGACATGCACTATGCTTTCGTGGCATCACGCGGGTTCGAGTCTGACATGGTGGCTTACAAGATCCATCATGGTCCAGGAGAAACATCTTCGGATGTATTTTTTCTTTGGGCCGTGGTTTCTCACCTTCACTTGCTGGCAGCCCTCTTGGAAGGTACTTGGGGCTGCACTGCGCCGGCATCAGATCTCGCCAGAATACGTTTTGGACTGACCAGCCCAGCCACCTCAACGACATGTCAATGAGAGTAGTCTAGGATGGGAGGGGGAGAGGTCATGAGATTGGCCTCCGGGGTGTATGTGCGATCTTCCTTATGTCTTGCGTTTTATTGCATTGCATCGTATCGTATGGCATTCAAATTATGTCAGGATATGTTGTATCAGATGGTATCATGTTGTATCATCCTTTCAGAGCAGTTTGATGCCGTGTTTGGAGGACCTTTGTGCCGCTCCAGGTAGCAAGGCCGGAAACCAAGCGAGGTACCATGACACAAATAAGGGGTACTAAGAGGGATTGTAGGGTGCGCGGCACGCAGGGCGCCGTGTTACTTTACACAAAGTGTGGGACATCGAGGTTTTAGTGCGATTTTCAGTTTCAGAAAACAAACCAGGTTGTAGTGCCTGTCGGAAACTATTGGAAGTTGTACGAGCTTTCACACAGCCAATATTGTTCGGCAGTGATTATCATCATCATCATCATCATCTTTCATCTGCAGAAAATACCAGTGGTTTAGAAAGTGTAGGCCATCCCTAGCAGTTCATGAACCCTTGTGACAGTGCGTCACGTCAAACATCCTTCTGCAGTATGTTGTGTGAAGTGGCAAAAACGCTATACATACCAGTGTTTTGGGCATGGTCGCCCTTAGAGTCGACGTCATCGTCCCCGCACTGCAAAACCCCCCTTCCCTCCCCCCACGCACCCACCCACACACGAACCAAAATGCAAGAGCACCAACAAAAGTAGCACGGCACCCCCTGCGTCCGCTACCTACTACTACAAGAGTAGAAGGGTTTGCTGCCTTTTCTTTTGGTTGCGTTGGAATATAGTGGGGGTGATTGCAAGCCTGCTCGAACACGTCCGTACTGGAGGCCTGCGGGTTCATGCACTAGGAAATTGCCCCTTCCTCCTTTGTCCGGGATGCTACCGCCATTTCCGGCCCGCCCAGAGCAAAGTGAGACATATTAACTAAGGCCACGCAGCTCGTGTCGCAGCTGCCCAGCGGTACGGTGCTGATGGTGCTCACCTGAGCAGTTCTCAGGCAGCCGTACAAGTTGCCCGCGGGCAAAATGCTTGCAGACATCGAGTATGCACAGCCACCAGAGTTGCCGTCACAGCTCTTGCCGCCGAATTTTGCTTTCCAGGCCAACGAATTTCGTGAGGATCGGGCGCGCTTCTCAGCTACCTGTTTTGGATCTGTACTCTTCCGGAAGCCAGGCTTGTTGACGTTGTAGCCTTGCTTTCAGAAGCATCTCCAGCACAAATGAGTCCCTGAAGAGACGTAACTGCTAGTGAGCAGAGAGGCAAACCTCCCTGAACCCTAAACCCTATCTAAACCCTAAACCCTAAACCTTTCAAACCCGCCGCCCCCGCAAGGCGCGACTCCTCAGAGCCAACCTGCACCGCTCCGGGGCCTCTCGGGCCCTCGTCTCGCAGCTTGGTGGCCTTCAGTCTTTGTCGAAGTGGGGGGGGGGGACTTTACATAAGAATTTGGTTTAGTGTAACTTTGGGGTACTTCATATAAGAACTTGGTTTAGTGTAACTTGATGACAATGGCCCCCCTCTTGTGGCCAAGTCGCGAGCTCTCACCGAGGAGCCTCGACGGCCGCCGCTTTGGTGAGCTCTGCCCCGAAGCCTTCGACGCCATCCTCGTGGATGCGCCCAAGCCCTCAGTCCGCTACAGACGTGGCTAATGATTCTAGTGATTGTTGCCAGAACCGTATTTAGGAATCATAGCGGCTTACAGAGAGGGTTGCTACGAAGGTGTAACGGTACTAGGGGGTACTCTAAGGGTTTCGATAAGGGTTACTGCAAGGATCCGGCAGGGCAGATGGGGCTGGGACGAGTGCTTCGGACGGTTTGCGGATTCTGTGAGAGACTGAGGCCCTGCTCTGGCGAGGGCAACATCCGCAAGGACTCTTCGCTGTAAAAGCGGATCGTATGAGGATGTGAGGCACTTGCAGTCTCATTGTGCAACTCTAGGGGTTTAGGGTTTAGGGTTTAGGGTTTAAGGGTTTAGGGTTTACGGTTTAGGGTTTAGGGTGGGCCAGATGTATTCAAGGCCAGCAGATCCGGCCTGGCACATGCGAGCCATGCAATCTCAGTGACGCTCACAATCAGGTTTGCGATATCGGTGACTGCACCGAACAGGACCCAAAGGCATTCGACCGCTGGGCTCGGCTCCCAGAGCGCGTGCAAACTCCACACCTTCGGGAAGTTGGAAGCAGCCTTTGTGCATATTTGCTGCAAAGGTAGTGCATGGATGTGAAGATTCGATACTTTTTGGAGACATTCTCGTGCTCCACGCAGGACTCTGTGCTGTCAGTGCCTTGCACGCAGGTGCGCAGACCTTCACCGTAGCCATTTCTGGAGTACCGGAAAGCATGGTCCAGACAGATGTCAGCAGCCAACATGGCCAACATAAGCATACGCGAGCGATCCCTGATCGCCAGCCTGATGTTTAGAAGTCTTTTTCTACTTTACACTTGGGTTTTATGTGGGGAATCGCGGCATTGTGCAGGGTGCCCATTTCTTCGCAATAGATCCCTCTGAGCTCGGCGACTCGCCCCGCCACTCGCTGCGACTGGAGGCATCCGGTTTTTCGAGACCCTAAGCCCTAACCCTAAACCCTAAAACCCTATTGCCTATAAACCCTAAACCCCAGAAACTTCCTCAATGGCTCGTTTTTTTTGTTTTTGTTTTTCCGGGTTTTCCTTTTTTTTTCCGAAGGCTTCGGCCCCGCAGCGGCAGATGACCAATGAGGACAGCACTGCGCGCCGGGCTCTGTGTGGGTTTAGGGTTTAGGGTAGGGGGGGCCGCCGGGCTCTGTCCAGAGAGCAACCGAAGGAGGGCGAAGATCTCACCCACTTGGAGGCACCCCGACACGGCTTTGCACACTTGTGGCTGGTGGGTTCTGAGCCGACGGGCCCTGCCAGAAACTCAAAGCGAACTCTGCCGGTGGGCGCATGGAAAATGTGATGAAGGGTGCCCCAAGCCTCAGTTTCGGCAGCTCTCATCTTGGATCTCGTTATCTGATCCCCCACACGGCATGCAGTATCGAATCCTCGCCCCGAGTCCATCGATCGATTCCGGTCAAGCACCGCCCGCCGAAAGCAGGAGGCAGAGTTTAAGAAGGATCTGGCTTCGCTTCCAGCTTGGATTCAGGGTTTGTTGAACATGTATAGACGCTTTCACATGCACATATGCACACGTACACTAACATTGCATGTCCGTGTGTGCATAGTATATATGTTACATTGTAGCTGTTATCACAAATGACGCAGCGATCAGTCACAGGGCGTTGTCCGTGCAGGTGGCTCAACTCGAGGACCACTCCGACGAGGAGTTCTTGGGACCAACACAAACCTCCACCCATAAAGATAATTTTTCTGTATATAGATAGATAGATAGATAGATATAGACTGAGACATAGACATAGATACAGATACAGATATAGACAGTACAGTAATGGTAACATAGTATCTGCCAAGATATTAGTAATAGGCTGCGCAGTTTTGATGTAGTAGACAGCACTCAGCCGCAGAAGGCCCCCCAAATGCCAAAGCCACCGGAAGGAGAACAGTCCTGTGGCCGGTGAGAGAGCCTCGAGACCTGGCGCAGCTCGTGCGTTTGGAGTCTTTTGGTTAGTAGTATTAAAAGTAGTAATGGCAATAGTAGTAGTGCTAGCCACAATAGTACTGTGCTAGTAGTAAGAGAAACGAAAGTTTCGGAAGAAATATACACCTATTCTCAACAGTAAAATGAGTAGCAATAGCATTCTTCTTCTTCCACGAGCTTGGAGTCCGGTGGACGCGCTCCTAGCAAACGAATTCGGTGAGACGAGGAAAGAATTAGGTGGGAGAGCCAAGACCGCCTGGCCGAGGGGCAAGTCCAGCCGCCACCGCCCAACCTGTGACCGGTTCCATACAAGAAAGCACCCTGGAGGAGGCTTGAAGGAACACAGGCGAAAGCTGGGATGATGCAAGGAAAGCACCGAAGGTGTCACAAGCCTGCTCGAGCCATTCCAAATGACGGCGAGCTGTAGCAAGTGGAACGCTGTGTCGAAAGGGATACACAAACTCCGGAAGAGGAGGGTCATCAACCTTAAACACAGCCGGCACTCCTGTGAGGACAAAACTGAGCCTGCAGTCCGGCGGGCATTGCAAATCAGTGCAAGCCGTGAAGCCTTGTGGACCTCGCCTCCCCTTGCGAAAATCATCACACCACAGATCAGGATCTAGGAGGAGGCAGGCATCATCTGCAAGACCACGTGCAGAGGGGTGTGCATCAGGGTGATTGGCCCAGTCACGCAAAGACTGCTGCAGAACGGCCAATGGCTCCGCAAAATCCAAGAGCGTATGCCATACGCTGTCAGCCTCAGGGGGTGAAAGTGCCAACAAAGCCTCAACGACACCGGGATGCGTTTTCACGGAGTCCGGTCTGACCTCAGGGCACTCGAAGCCAGCAACCTGGACCGGAGGCGTCTGCAGATGGGGTTCGCTTTCAACTTCACCAGAAGGATGAAAGCTCCCCCATCCTATGCGACACGATTTGGAGTGGAGCAGGTGTCGACGTAGTCGATGACGGTTGGCATACAAACGCCCGCATCCAAGGCACAAGGGCTTCTCCTGTTCTTGAGAGAGTAGCGTCGCCGGTGCGCGATACCCATGCTTCTTGGCCGCATGCACGGCCCACGCGGCAAGGGATGGGAAGGCGACACGGCAGAGCAAGCACGCTTCATGGTATTGCTCAGGGCGCTCAGGGTCGGCACGGGTCTGGGTAAGGGCAACACCTCCACGCTGCGCCAGAGACCGCAATAGGGCCTGTAGTGTTGCGTAACATGCCACCCTGACAGTTTCCAACGCCTTGGCACGCTTGACAAGGCCACGAAATCTCCCAGGTCTCGAAACCATCACGTGTGCCCAAGGCCCCCAGTCAGCAGCTGGGTCTGGCAGCTGAACCGTTGCCCGAACCCGAGCATAAAGCCAGTTGAAGGCTTCCCGCATGCCAGCCATGAACTCAGAATCACTTTTGAGCAGGGCCCACAAGACGTCAGGTCCATTGGAGACCAGTTGTCGGGCATAGCGGAGACGCTCAGACCAAAGTAGGGTCACTGGGTCCGCCTGCCGCACCAAAGCACAGATGGTGGCCGTCGTGACATGCTGGTCATCGGCATACGCGATCCCAAGGCACTGCCGGTACATCGAGATGACAGTGCGTGCAAACAACGTCATTTCACCCTGACGTAGAGGTCCCCAAGCACCAGAGCCGAAAGTCAGCTTGGACAACACATGAGATGCAAGAATGGCACCTTTCCTTTCAAGGCTAAGTCTCTTCGAACGGAAGACTTTGGTCTTTCCCTGACGAAAAGAAACCCAAGCCGCAGCAACCCTCTGCTTGATCTCCGGTAACAAGCTGTTGTTAGCCGTGACCCGGACACCAAGGTGTTTGTACGCAGGCACCAGAGGAAGGGATTCGGCCGGGCCGGCTTCCGAAAGCACAGGTACACCCCTAGGCATGGAGAACAGCTTTCGCCTAGCATTGCGGGCCCCTTGACCTCTAAGCTGGACCACAGCTGCAGTCTTCGTAGCACCAAACGACAAAGAGTACCCATAACTCTTGAACGAATCGTTCAAGAAGGAGGCTTCGTGCCCGATCAGGGAGGCCGCGTCATCCGGGCACGAGACACCAAGATAAGAAGCCAGATCATCAGCCCACACGACATCTTCTAGTGTCGCTGACGCCGGCAATGGGGCCTCGGAGGGCTTTGGGTCGAAAAACCCCTTCCAACCATCCCAGGTGACAACGACTCGTCCAGCCTTCTTGGGTGACTCAAGTCTCATCTGGTCTCTAACTGCCAAAATGCCTGGGATAGTCACCCCAAAGAACAAATCTGCCCAAGACGATCCGGGCCTTGAGCCTTGTGTCGTTAGCACTGGCGTGTCATCGGAGCTGAGGGTCATCCAAGTCCTGTCATTCAGGTCATGGGTTAGCGCTTGGAGCCATTGTGATGCACAGCCTTGGCTGAGTGCACTGGGCTGCTCAAGCTGCCTCTGGACCTCAGGATCATGGTGTTGCGGCGGGCCTGCGCCGTCTTCCTCTCCGCGTCTTACTGTGAGTGCACGGACTGCACTATAATACGCGGCGGAGACGTCCGCGAAGAGGATGACGGTTGACACTGCATTGGCAGCGCACCATTTGCCGTAGGCCCGGCTAATGTGGGAACCGTACAGCACCGTCGCATTTTTCTTACCTCCCAATTGAATCGGCAAGGAGTGCTGGTCAAAAAATCTGTAAATTGCTGGCCGAAATGCGCGATGGAACGTCTTCGCGACAACCGAGAGGAGCATAATTGCTCTGTACGAGCCACAGTCGACCTTTGACCCCCGGCCTTTATAGAGCCAGGTCAGAATCCCAGATTTTAGACCCAAGGGTTCCCTACACAAGAGTCCGATCTTAAGGAGCAGGGGGAGAAGGGCCTGCTGCAGGGCAACTGGCTGCGCACGCCCAAGTTCGGCTGGGATCCCATCGGGTCCACAAGCTTTGCCGGTTTTGGCGTGCAAGATAGCACAGAGAAGGTCAGAGGGGGCTGGGAAATCCTCAATCGGAATATCAACATCGACTGGCATCGCAGGAGGCACAAGTTCGGCGATAGCGGCGGGGCTCATGTCGACTCCGCCTTCGAGTCCACTGAAATGTCTACGCCACCTAGATATAGTGGCAGCCCCATCCTCACACAGGTGGCCATGTTCATCTAGGAGTTGAGGCAAGACATCAGGAGCATAGGGTCGCTTCTTGCGTCGGCAGAGAAGTCTTCTTAGGTCTTCATGAGCCTGGTGGCCTCCGCTCCCGACGGAGTCTGCAAGACCGCTCAGGTAGGCTGCTCTGTCAGCTTTGCAGCCTGTCCTCAGTTCCTTGGACGCAGCAGACAAGTTGCTCCCGAGACGATCGAAGGACATCTTGGCCTCTCGCATCCATTGTGAACGCCGCATGCCGCGCAGGGGACCTCCATGCCCACACCGCAGGGAAGCAAATGCTGCCGCGGTCTCGTGAAATTTGACTGCGGACCGGAGCCTCGCAAGCTGCCTACGCAGACTCGAAACAAGCCTTTGCCGGGCCCACGTATCCTGGGTAAGGTAGGGGTGGCGAGGGCGGGCAGACGGAGCTGCTGCTGGACGCTCAAAGCCACGCTGTATGTGGGACACGAGCATGGCTGCATGCGCGTGCGGCCCCACTTGCCAGGGGATGTCGGGCATGCTCGCAAGTACTGCAGCTGCCTGTGCTTGCCCGTCCGGCGTGCCAAAGAGGCTGGCATCAATTTTGGCCCTTTTCTGTGGAGCGCCACTGCCCCCCAAGACAACCCGTGCACGGACACTGACGAGGGCAGCGATGTGATCGATCACTGGCTGTCCAGCATGGATACGGGGCTCAACCCAAGAACAAATGTGACATTGATCGAGGCAGTCCGGAATTGCAACAAAGTCATTTCGACTTTCAGCTTGGTTTCTTTTCTGCACGTAGGTTCCGCTCGGGCCGGTGTGAACACCTTGGAAAGTCGAAGGTAGCCACAGGGACAAGCGATGCAATAGGTCGTGTAAGTGGTCTCCCGCATCGTCTTGCACATCTGCATCAAAGTCCCCAACAGAGCGGGACGTTAGAGAACCAACGGCTGCATTGAAGTCTCCAAGGAGATAAATAACACCTTTGGAGGCAAATTTTTCCAAAAGTCGTTTGGTTTCTGCCCACCACGCCGCTAGAACGGGCGCTTCTGCTCCACGATGCGGAGCGTGCAAGGAACCAAACAGGACACGGAATTTGGCAGCTGAAAAGAGCACAAAAATGCGCCTGGGGTCAGTGTGTAACACCGTGAAGGCACTGGGTGTGAAAGACGCTGCAGTCGCCGAACCGTCATCCCTAACAATGGCACGGCAGTTTGTGTTGAACCAAAGCTCAACACCGAACTGACCTTTATCTGCCCCTGAACAAAATCTCGTAAAACCGTCGGTGTGCAGAGTGCCTGTCTCCGTTCGTGTCTCTTGCAGCCCCGCAACCTCAACACCACATGGAGGGCGGAAGCCAGGATCGCAGGCCGAGCCGGCGCAAATGCAAGCCCAGCATTACGGTTGTCAGAGAAAGAGGGGCCGCGCAGGGACAAAACATTGTAGGTGGCCAGAGTAAGCTGCAAAGTGCCAGCTTCACTTGAAGTGCACACAGGTTCCGTGCGGAAGGGCAAGAAGGGCTCAATGCATTGCAGAGGTGAGAGTCCGGCAGAGCCCTCGCACGGTATCATGGGCCCAACACAGCCAGGCAGACTGGGTTGACTGTGCAGGCATTGGCAGATCAGGCCGGCCCAATCGAGAGCCCTGCCGCCGTTATCCCACCAAAGGGGTGAGGCTCCTTCGCAAACTGGCCATCCCCCATGGTGTTGTCCCCGCGCGGCAGCCTTGGCAATAACATCCGCAACTTCATTGAAGAGGGAGCCCTGATGCCCCCTGACATGCAGGAAGACAGGCGAAGGTCAGCAGTGGCACGTGCAAATGAGCTGATACTGCGGAGGATGCTTGCAATGCCATCTCCTAGTCCTGCAGCTCGTCCTGCAGCGATGTCCATTGCAGCAGTGCAGTCAACACAAATGGCGACATGCACGTGTCTTAAAACCGTGCCACAAGCACGGAGTGCCGAGACAAGTGCTAGGCATTCACCGACAAAGGCAGATGAGGGCTCCCTTTCCTCCGGGAGCCACGAAGGTCGACCTCCGGAAAGGACACCAAATCGATGGCCAAGAGGATCGACGAAAATGCAAGCCCAGCCCATCTTTGCAGTACCAACACCACGCGGAGCTGTGTACGAGCCGTCTGTAAAGCAATACAGACCAGCTTCGGTGCAATTGAAATTGAAGGTGCCCGGGCAACCCAGGAAAACTTTGGCAGCGTCAGGCTTAGGCAATGTTCGCAGGGCCGGACCTGGCGGGACCAATGCACAGGGCATGTCAAGCAAGTTGTGCAAGTCACTGAAGGTGAAGGGCATGGTCAAACCCCCTAAAGTAATTGGCCCGACACGCTGGTGGCTCGCATACAAAGAGGGAGCTGGGAAAATCAAGGGTTGCCAGTGAACCTCCGCCAAAACCAGGACCTCACGGATGTCGTGACTCGGGCTGGGGCCGCACACAGCGCCACAAAGACACACCTTTCGGGGCCCGTTAGCATCGTTGTCACCGAAATGGAAGTGCTCGAGAAGGGCTTCCAACAGGGTGCACGCTTCCCAATAGACTCGTCCCTGGGACTGCACCACAGATTGCTCAAGCAGCGTGGGGCCGAGTGAACAGCTCGAGCCTCGGGAAGCAAATTTGTTGCGCGAGCGACAGGGTGTGGGTAAAGGCCGGACCTCGGCGGTGTTACCTCGGCCGAAATTCCGCCGATCGTCAGGGAAATTGACGCAAATTTCACCCTGGGCATGATGGAGCTGTATGGCAACAGTCTCCTGACAACCATTCCCAGCAAGGACACATGAGGGCCAGCACGCAAGAGACAGTATGAAAACCCATCTTCGGGTACCGCTCCCTCGACGCACAGTGAGAGGGCTTCTGAGTTTACACAGCTGGCAAGCGGTGGAGCCCCCAGTGCCGGAAACAGGCTCGGCATCTGTGACCTGGCTCGGTGCAGCAGGTGCTGGTGCTGCGGTATAGGACCTCTCATCCCCCGACTCATCAGGCCCTGGGCGACCAGGGGAGGGAGGGGGACCGGGGGGCCTCCTCCTTCATGCCGCCATTCACGCAGCAGAGCTTCAGGGAGAACGAAAACGGTAATGACGTCCCCATTGCTGACAGGCAGCGCCCTCTCACGGGGAGAAAGGAGGACCCCTCGTCTCTCTGCCTGCACCTGCAAACCAGGTGGACATCGCCCGGTAAAGCGACCGAGCAGCTCTCGTACATCAAAGCAGTAATCCGGGCAGCGGGCTACGTAGAGACCACAGAGGACGGGCCGAAGGTCAACAAAGCACACCGCTTCATTGAAATCACTGGCATTTGCACACCCAGGCGCCCAGACAGCATACATCACGTTCATTGTGGGTTGGCCTCGTCGCCAAAAGTCTTGAATCCTGGGTCTGGGGAGCTGGATGACGAGATCAGATGCAAGAATGCCAAGCCTGGCTGCAATGTCTTGTCGGCTGTAGTTGCGTCGCTCTGGCCTGACCTGGTGACGAAAGGCTCCAGCATCGTGTACAACCCAGGTATCCCCAAGGAAGGTGGTCAGGACAGGGGCAACAAACCGCCAGTGGGTAGGGGAGGCCAGCATGTCGGCTAGTGATGTGGCCACCGCGACCGCTTGCTGCTCTGGCACGAATTGCACAAGGTCTCCGTGCCCCAACTCGACAAAGACATCAGCTGGTAACGGCCATGGCATGTCGCGGATATATATTTCGATGTTGGTGTTGGCGGGAAGCCCTGCTGCCACAAGAAGTCCGACTCTATCAATTTGCCCTCCCAGCTGAATGGCGAAGGAACGCCCGTCACAGGCACTAAGGTCCATTGCAATGTATGCACCGTCTACCGGCCAAGGTGGTAGAGCGAGAATGAGTGCGTGATTCCCAGAGGGCTGGGGAATGAGCGGGAGCAGGTAAGGCAGGCAGAAACGGTCACGTGGCTTACGCGCTGCGGATACCCGGGTCAGCGCGTCATGAACACTGGTTGGAGCAGGCAGGGGGATCTGGATCAACTCTGAAGCATAATCCTGGCCCAAAATAACAAACGCTCTGGCTCTCATATCAGGGCTGACAGCAGCATCGAGTTCGTCAGAGTTACTTTCAGTGTTCAAAGGCACTGATCCTGCTTCGGTTTCCTGGCCAACCGAGCTATCATGGGTTTCGAGAGTCATGGCACCGGAGCTGAAAATCTCCGAAGGAGCTGAGTTATCACTTGATTGTTGGTCCGGAGCGACAGCTTCAACCAGACTCCTGTCAGGAACGTAATCAACCGTAATGACTGTGCCCGGCCCAAGAAAGACTCTGCCCCCAAAGGGTGTCGGGGCATCAGTAGCCTGGGCCCGCCATCCCCGGGGTGCTTCGGCTGAGAGGGTCTCAATCAACAGGCCAAGGTCAAGAGCGAACCCATAGCTCTGCCTTAGCTTGATCCCCTCCCTAATCGGGCGAAGATCTAGGAAGAAAGCACGACAGTCGGTCTCTGAGCGTTCGCAGCTGCATGCAGTGAGCAGAGTCCTGCATTTGACACCATGGACAGAGATGTCCCTGATCGGTGGCCTAGCTGGCGCAACATGAAAATTGGTGTGGGTCAGGCCGATCGTGCTGGCAATGTGTCTCTTCATTCGCCATGGACGTCCAAAGTCGCATGAGCAGAGAACGTGCCGCTTGGCAGTGGCAATGCAGTAGGAGTCAGGGAGGGCGGGGGCCGGGAACGGTCTCACATCGTCCCAAAAGGCCGGAGACAAAAGGAGCTGATTCAACAATGCTCTGCCAGCTGTCGGTATCTGGCCTGCCTCGACGTAAACGATCTGCATCCCTTGTGTGAGATGGATCTCTGGGCCTCGTGCAAGAGGTTGGTCATCCCCGTCGACAAACACGTCATAGTCAACCCCCGTAGGCAGTGCTGCGAGCCAACGCAACCCTTCAAGGTCGACGTATGATGGGGCGTAGGTGGCAAAGATGCGCCCATCAATTGCAACAGAGTTTAAACAAACCACAGTTGCTTCCGGGTCCCAACGCGGGGCAGCAAGCAGCAATGCGAACCCAGGGATGGGCTGTTGCGCCAGTGGTCGCACATATGGGAAACGCAGGCATGGTGCCGTAGCCCTTGCATCAGGGAGGAGAAGTTCGGCCTCTCTCCATGTGCAGGGCAGGGGCAACACGAGCGTGGCGAACTCAGGCGCGTACTCAGGCGCCAAAATCGCAAATGTGATAGCGACTTCTAGAGGCACCAGGTCATCAAAGCCATCCTCGCTTTCTTCATCCTGCAGAAGTCTCGCTAAATCTCTGGGAAGAGCAAATTGCGGAATCTGCAGTAGCCTGGTAGCTGCACATAGGTTCCCGAGCATCCAGTGCAATCCATATCCAAAAGAAGGGTCATCAGCTAGCTTTTGGCTAATGGTCTGAAGCCTGTGCCACACGAGACCTATGAAGGCAAGGACAATGGCAACGAACGCCCACTGATCGGTGTCAAAGGGGTTCAGCTAAATCCTGGTAGGCTTGTGAGGCTGGGCACTCAAGGTTGAGCAAGCAACAACAGGCAACAGGCAAGCTGCACGGACTACCATCACAGGGTAGTTCTGCCTCCCATACCCGGTACCAGCGACAGGCCTAGGGGGCGGTGGCCCTGCAGGGGGGCCAGAGTCCGACGTGGAGTCGCTCTGGGAGCTGGAGCTGCTTGCATCACTGGAATACATAGTGTCAACGTCAGACCCCGAGACAGACGGGGCCTCTCCTACAGCAGGAGGGTGAGGCAGACTGGGAACAAACTCAACAGTCAGACACATAGCGTCTGCGACCTGGAGCATATCAGTTCCAGGCATAGGAAAAGCGCCAGTGAAGGCAAGCTGGTAGCCTTCTGGGCGTCTCCTGGGGAGCTCAGCGGCGTATCGACCCATGGAGAACAGGCCATTTCGCAATGAACCTCCATGTGACGCCCAACAGGATAGGCCTCTGGTCAATGAACACGACACACGCTCCAGTGCCTAAGGCGCGATTGGCAGGAACATTTTGAGAGACGACGATTACGGCCTCGGTCGTGGCCCCTTGATCACAGAAATTTCGAATTGGAGGCTCTGGTGCAACAGCCACCAATCGTGCTGGATCATATTGAAGTATATGCACCAGGACAAACCTGCGGGGGCGGCCTCCTTCAGTGGCAAGTCTGAAGGCGCCTTCATCCGTCATGATCCAAAGTGCAGGATCAAAAAGGAATGGAAGGGGCTCAGAATGATCCCAGCAGTCAGCTGTCCTCAGCATGGTCATGAGGTCCCCAAGGTGTGGGGCTGGGGCTTCTGGGTCAAGAAAGACTACAACCGAGCCCTGAAATAAGCGGACGATTTCATCCCCCTGTATTGGCCTGACATAAGGTTCAGTCCACACGGCTACCTGCCTCCACCATGCAATGCCTGCGCGGGCGCGCAGAAGCGCAGCGTTGACGACAGGAGGGAGGAAGGCTGCCTGCATCTGACCTGAAAAACTCCTGCAATCCAGTACAACCTCAACCTCAGATTTTGGCCATCGTGTCGTTGCCAGACAAACAGCAAAGCCAACAGCCGGCTGGTACGTTACTGGCACTAGCCTTGGGAAAAGGCGTTTGACATCTGGCAGCCTGTAAACTTGCAGCTCATGCATTGCTAGAGCTATGTCACACGGGACCGGCAGAGTGAGGGGAACAACTTCAGGCCTATACCCCTCAATCATGAGAACAAGCCGCACCCTAACAGTTGGCAGGACAACCATAAGTTCTTGGTCCGGAGGATCGGCAAAGAAACCCGGTGCATCCGGGCGTCTCGGCGAACGGTCACCAATGTCTCGCATGGGGGGAGGAAGAGGATCCCCTTGCCCCGCATTACCACCAATCCCCGAGAGGCGGAGGCTTGTCCCGTTGAAATCGGGAACTCTGAAAGCATGGGTGGGAGCACAACTTTGGTCAGCGGTTGGAACGTCAAGTTTCGAACACTGCAAGAGCTGAGGAGTGAAATGAACCACACACCTCCTTACTTCAACACAGCTCTGCGGGGCCACAAGCCTGACGCAAACTGAGCAATCTACGGGCATAGCGACCTCGCCTTGGCACGCCTGACAACTCTGCTGGCATAAGAGATGTGCACTTGACTTCGGGGGAGTTTGGAATCCCTTGTAGGATCGGTCTTCGCTACTAGCACGCTCCGCGGTCTTATGGCCTCTTGAACGCGAGCGAGTGGAACTCTCAGATCCATGTCCGTCCTCCCCCGAGTCATCATCGTCATCTGGCTCAGGGTCAGGCGAAAAGCCACTCTCTGATTCTGGGTGCTCGTCATCCCTTTCGACAAGGCGCTGAAAGGCAAGAACCAGCACTTCGCCTGGGTGGAAATCTACCCTTCCATCCTGACGTCGACCCCCTTTGACAACAAGCTTCCAACCGGGCGGAGGAGGCTGTTGCAGATATTGCAGTAGCCACGCAATCGTCAGGAAAGGTTGATCACAGGTGACGAAGTTGAAGTCATAACCCAAAGGTCTGGAGTCAAGGAAGACAATATGCGGAAGAGCCCTCCCCTGCTCGTCACGTTCGGGGCGTCTCTCAGTAACCGCAATGACACCCCTGATCGGGCTGCCTCGGTAGACGTATGGAAGCATTTCTTCAGGGTCCGCCGCTTGCATTCGAATCTCGGCAAGCGGTACACCTATCAGTGCTGCTATTCCGTTTTGATTCAGCCAAGCGTCACCACAGAACCGATCATAGTGGAATTTACCGGAGCTGTGGAGAACAAGCGCACAGGCTGAGTCCCGCGTGCGCGGCACCACAACTGTGCTAGGCCAGTAGTGCGGGTGCCAAAGCGCAAAAGCCAAAGGGGCAGCCCATAGAGGCCGTGACCCTATCGGCAGCATTCTGATGAGGGTCCCCGTAGGCAATGAAACTTCGCAGTCCTCTGCAAGAGGGTCGCTTTGTCCGGCTGCAAAAACATCATGAGCGGCAACCGATGAAAATCCAGCAACCCGATTAATCTCTTGCACCGTCGTAGGAAATGAAAGGACCACTGCAAAGACATGCCCTCTTATTGCACGAGCATCAAGGAGGGCGACTGCAAGATTAGCCTCGGCCAGCCATGTGGGGGAAGCCACAAAGGCCGCAACGCCCGGGGCAACCTGGGGATAAACCGGCGTCAGTTGCTCGCCACATTCCTCAAGCAGGTCAGCTGAGCGCGCTCTAATGTGGCTATCAAGGATGTCGACCCGAGAGGGGAAAAATATGCCGGCTGTTGAGTTCACTAGCCTATACCCCGCGGCTGCTAGAAGGACTGGCACATCAAGTGCAATCCCAGGACCTGCAGTTTCGAACTCGGCCGCATCGAGGTCGGGTGCCCTGAGGAGCCCGGGATGTGCTTCCCTGGGCGGTATTGAAGGTTGAGACGCCGCGAAGTCTTCACCTTCCAGGGGTGCAGGTTCCTGCTGGAGCCTCGGTGAAGGCACGGCCGTATCCTGGAGGTCAGAGGCTAGGCCAGGGAATTGTGCTGGAGCATCGGTTCCATACGCCTCTCTGAGGGATTCAGCCTGCACCTGAGCTACCATACGCCTCCATGAATTTGGCGCAGGATCCATGCCATCCGGGGCCTCTTGATCTCCCTTGTCACGCGAATGTACGTTGGCGGCCTCAGCGAGATCATGGGCCAGGGAGAGGGCTTCGGACAAACCTTTGGGAGCTGCCCATACCTGCATTGGTAGGGATGCGAACCCTAGCATTAGCAGGAATCGATTCCAGCCTGCAACCCTTGCCGCAGGAAGGGACGGCCTTCGCTGCTTGGCCGAGTGGAAAGAATGTCCTTTGGCATTCCCCTGAACAACACTAAGCCCTCCAAGGGGAAGGACAAGTCTGTCCGTGCTGGCTGCTGCAGGTATCCTTAGCAGCCTGGCAATAGGGCTGTTGCTCCCAGGTAGCACTCGCAGGAGCAAACGCCAAAGTGCAAACAACAGGAGCAGCTGCAGTGTCACGAAGAAGGCTGCAAGGCGGTCCCCCATAAAAGAGAGCCAGGTTTCGAAACGGGAAAAGGAACCAGTAGGCGGACAGCCCAGAGCGACCGATCTGTCTCTTTCGCGCCCTACTGGGAACCCATTAGTCGTCCCTGAACTCCAAAAAGGGACCCAGATTATTTCCAAACCCTGGGCCTCAAAACTTGCCGGTCGTGGAGCGGGTGTGCAAAGGAGGACAGCAGGCGGACAGCCCCGAGCGACCGATCTGTCTCTTGCGCGCTCTGCCAAAAATCTCCAAACAAAACCCCGCTCCCAAACGAAATCCACGACCTGGCAAGGACCAGGATGCTGATTTAAGGCCTGGCCGTCCTGTTGGCATATGTTCTTGACCCCAAACGGGGCAAAGGTTGGCTGAAAGCCCTCGGAGGCCCAAAATCCACATAGGGACGGAGGGCGATTAGGGATACTGCAGCACAGGTGGGAGTGGAGAAAAGAACCCAGGCGGTCTGGCTCAAAAAGGGAGTGGCAAATATGTACAGCAGCTCCCAAAGCACACTGTACAAGGCACTCAGAACTTTCAGAAACCTCCGACTGGTCCAGCCGCAGATAGCCTCCAGTGCTCCACCCGCCATCCGGTCCACAGCTCCAGAAGCTAAACCCAACGCATCCGGAGCAGGGATCATCCAGGAGAGGGAGCATGGAAGCCTTCCGTGGGGGACCAGCCTCTAGCTGAGATCGGACTCGCCCGTCTGGTCCAGTTCGTCGTCGTCCTCCAGGAATCGCATTCCCGGGTGGCTCCTCACCTCTTGTGGTGGTGGCTCGGTTGGGCCTGTAGGCGTGGGGCTTGGGCCAGGGCCAGAGTCTTGACCTGGGCCGGGGCCAATACCACGACCACCACCAAACGGTTCCATAGCCCTTCGCCTCTGGACACGATCCTGTAGAGTAGGGCTCTTGCCGTAGCTTCCATCCGGATTTGCGGCTGATGGAGCTGTTTCTGGCACATTTGGAGGTGCACCATGAAGAGTTGCTGCCATGGGTGCAACCAAGCCAGGGGCCTCGAGAACTGGTGCAAGCCCAGGAGGCGCAACAGGCGTCTGCCCATGTAACAGTTGCTGCTGAAGGTACTGCTGGAGGGCCGCCGGAGTTATAGCAGGCGACATAGAAGTATAGTATGGGTCGTTGACCGCTGCGGGGGCGCCAGCCATCGTAGAGACAGCCGAGGCAGGCGAGGGCCCTCCGCGTGGCGTCCGTGGTGCAGCTGCCGAAGCTCTGGTGGGAGTGACTGCAGGGGGAGCCAGAGCCCGCCGCAGTATCCCGTCTGCAGCACCATCGTCCTCCCGGGCCCAAGCTTCGAACACCTGATCCGCGTCTGGCCCATCCAGCATGGGCACATCTGCAGCATCCACACTTCTTTGTGCACCGAAGAAAGCGTCCCGCAATCCCTGACGTGCAACAACTTGGGCTTCTTCCGCCTCCAAAATTTCCTTCTCCAGCCGCTCCCGGTCTTTGGCAAAGCGTATCCTTTCTTTTCGGAACGCTTCCTTCATCTGTGCCTCGTATTCCTGCCACATCAGGCCGGATTGCAGAAGGGCATCTCGAAGGCGAATGACCTTCCCTTCGGCTTTGCGTGTGTGGTTCAGGGCAGTCTGTATAGCAGGAGTGACCGAAGCATTCGCATCTCGTCCTCCCCCCCGTTCCGTAGGGTTCTTGGCTGCAACAGCTTTGGCTGCTGGCAGGCTGACAGAGGAGTATGAGGGGAAAGCCATGGGCCGGGCTGTGTCGTTGCGCCAAGGGCGCTGGTCCCGAGCCTGCGACTGTTGAGGCGAATAAGCACCAGGCCATACTCTGTAGCCATGCTCTCCACCTCGCCATGGTTGTCCGCCTTGTTGCCCGCTCTGCTTGCTGCCACGTCCCATGCGAGGGGAAAGGCTGCTCAGGAGATCACGAAGTAGAGGATTTGTTCCGTGATGGCGGGAAAGCAGATCTCTTTGGGCCCTGGTGAGCGGGAGGCCGGACCGGTAGCACGATCGAGCCTTCGACCGCTTCAGCCGAAGACGCCGATGCCAGGCAGGGGAAGCTATGGCTCGGGGTCGCGGGCGCACCGATTTTGGTGCTGGGGCAAACAGCGATCGCCTCCTCAAGGCGTTTTCTGAGCCCTAGCAATAGCATTAATGATAATGACAATAAGACTATTAATGGTAATGAATCCTCCTCCTCCGCCTCCTCCTCCTCCTGCTCCACCACCACCCAGAAGGAAGCCAATGTGTTGGAATTTACAATGAATCGCGCTTTCTAGACGACGCGGGCGAACGGATCGTGCGCAAATAATGGGACAAGATGCGCCCCACCACAGCGGTAGTCGGAGGAGCCTTTCCGCATGCCCCATCTGCATGTGCTGACCCCTTGCTTCAATTATTTTGAACGTAAGAACTTCATCGTATGTGCAACGCTTTTTGGGAAATGTCAACAGCACCCCGTCACGACAAGGACCCTAATAGGGATCATAAGCAACAGCATCCCGACCAGCAGGCGTCCATGCAGACCCAATAGCACACCACACAGCCACGAAGAAGTTCAATCAACCCTAAACCCTAAACCCTAAACCCTAAACCCTAAACCCAGACACAGAGGGATGAATCACACTTTCAGGAAGGATCCCACTCCTCGGAGCCGGTTGATGGAGCGAGGAGGTGGGCCACGAGGGATCTGCAATGGCAAAAGCCACCAGAGCGTAGTAGGGTTTAGGGTTTAGGGTCTGTTGCGCTGGCAATAGTTCTAGAATTTGATGGCGAGTTGGACTGCGCTGTTTTTGGGGGCCCAGGCTCAGTTTTTTGCAGAAAGCAAGGGTTGTTGGTAGCTTCCGCGAGCTTCGGCCACCTTGATGGATTGGAGCAAGTAGGGGTTGTGTGGATTGCAGGTATTGGCCAGGATTTTCGTGTGCAGTTGAAAAAGCAGGGGTGTGTGTGTGTGTGTGGCTTCTACGCACCCCAAAATCCGTGAGCCCACCCGAGAGTTAATGTTTACTTTCTCCCCCCGAGCCTGAAACCAAGAACCCCCAAAGGATCGGATCCTTAAACAAAGATCGAGCTTGAGCCTTCCTTAGGTGCCTCAAAAGGTTCCTTTAAAGGGTTCCCTGAAGGGTTCCTCTATGGGGTTCGGAAGTGCCATCGGCTTCGGGAGTCTCTGCTACGACTGCCATCCTTCCGGTTTTTCAAAGCAGCCGGACGAGAAGTCACTGTGGACAGATTCGACCGCCTCGATATTTCATCGCAACGAAATGAAGGGCACTTCCCTAAACCCTAAACCCTAAAACCCTAAACCCTAACCCTAAAGACTAAGCTTCGGCACTGAATTACGCACATACTCATTCACCTCAGCAGCTCTGCGCCCTGAGCTACAGCGGTGGTAACACTGGCACAGCTGCAAAAGCAACGACGAGAATTACCAACAGCAACCCTAGTTAAACCCTAAATTGAATCATCAGTGACCTGAAGCCCAACTTGGTCCCAAAATGCCTAAACCATAAACCCCTAAACCCCTAAAATGCCCTAAACCCTTAGCCCTAAACGCTAAACCCCTAAAATGCCAGACGACTCGGAGATCAACAAGCCGATCTGCAGCTTGGCTCTGCCCAAGGAAGAGTTTCATCAGAGAAATAATGCCCCAGTAGACGAGTAGGACTGTACTACATAGGACCATAACCAGAGCTTCAGGGTGCAAGGTGTTTTGGGGTTCATCTCTATGGAGATACAAAGGGTTTGCAGCCGGAAAGTAGACCAGGAAGCAGTGATTGAGACTGCATCACCTCAGAGATGTTCCATGCTCAACCCAGGGCACAGTCATCCTGACGTTCTTCCTCCGTCTGAAGCTCAAGATGCCGTGGAGGAACGTGGCTGAGCCCCGGCACGCATTTTGAGGTTGCCGATGTGATTCGCTGTTGCTTGTCACATGCGAAACGGATCAGTAGAAACTTACGCATATCTGCTTGTGTGTGCTGAGAAGCATGGTCGGAGACGGTGCCATAGTCCAAAATAAATAAACATACATATATATATATATATGTATATGTATCTGTATATGTATAGGTATATGTATA